ACCTTCCGTCATCGAAAATCTTCGTGTCTGAATTTTTAGGTGGAGTTTATTCTATAATATTAAGGTAAAGTTTGATGGGAGGGTGAGTAAAATGTGGCTTACAAATAATCAATTAGCTAAAAAGACACACTACATTGGACATTATGACACTGAGGTCCAAAATTTGTCCGATTTAGAAAAAAGATTTTACATTTTGTATAATAACGGCAACGCATTTTCGCATTTTACTAGTTACGTATTTTCCGCGGTTTTTATACGTTTGGGCTAGGCATATTTTAATAATGTACACTTTTATGGTGTATTTGGTGTATACAATTAATACGAACATATTATTATGTGTGATACGCATACGAGTGAGATGTGGAGTAAACGATTTCTTTTTTGTCAAATAGCTGGCACCGCGGGAAGTCTCTCATCATCGTGCGTAGTTACATTAATAAACTGTAGGAAACCACTTTGGAAAAGCATGTATTATATTAAAATATAATAATACGGTACACATACACACACCGATAATTACGATTTACGAGCTGCAGCAGTCAATTAGAGTAAAAACAACAACGAAAAATATATTTATATATATATAAAATATGTACCAACAATAACTACAACAGCAGTATGCGACTTTCAGCGTACAAATAATAATAATAATATATAGTTGTACACGCTTGTATGCAGTAGAGAGTGGCTGCGCGAGAAGTTTCATAAATATTAATTAAAAATACGCACACGCGGGCATTTAGTGGGTCAGCGGTGTGCTTAGATGTATATAGGGGCTTTAAATACGGGTCAAGCGAGAGATGACGTGTACGGCGGCGTCGGCCTCCGCGTAACAAAAATATGACAAACTATTATATTAGAGGTAGTAAGTTTTGTACTTTTGTACCATTTTATTTATTTATTTTTTCATTTTGTCGAATAGCTTAACGACCATTTTTCTAATACAATAATTTAAACAATAAATATTGTTATACTATCTTGTAGTTGTGGTTATTGTGTTAAATATTGTAATAGATCCGCCGCGCCTCGCCGCCATAATATTAGAATATTTTTTGTGCTGCGCAACATAGCATCCGTCCGTCACGGAAATACGCAATATATATCATTACTGACATTTATACGACTTTTTACTTTATTTCATTTGCAAAAATTGTCAATTTGGCTAATGATTAGTAGTCTTGCATTCCTTTTTTAGAAAATCATAACAGTTTTTAGGCTTTCTTAGGCTTAAAATTAAATTAAAATTGTGATTTTTAATACGTTAATAATATGCTCGTTGTTCATATATTATTAAAAGTTGAATTTTTATAATAGGTACTTGATATTTCCATTATGTATATTGAAATTTGAATATATTGTTTTGTACGTTTTAAAGTTATTGGACCATGGTAGATGCCAGATGGAGTTATGGAGTGAAGGCAGGTCAATATGCCTCGTTGTGAATCTATAGATCTATGCCTATAATTATAACGGTGATCTTTCGTATCGTCGAAGAAATCCCAACTGCGTTTAAAATTGTTTTCTAAATCCTTCATGTACCCGGATCCCGGAAGACGTATAATATTTGATAAATGATTGTTAATATTACACAATTTACTGAAGCAATTATATTGTTATAAATTTCTAATAATTTTATTATATTAATCGTGTGCTTATAAAAACAAATAATATAGGTATACTATCTACGGACTTTACTTCTTTGGTTTTGTTAGTATGATATTATAATATATTGGGTCTCGTTTAAAACAATTTAAATAGATCGCGTAATAAATAACGGCGTAATGGAAAATTTCAATTGGAAAAAAAAAATAAAAAATGTTTTTTTCCTGACAGAAATGTCCCAGCGATTACGTCCTGATGATGCTTTGTAAGCCCCACTCCCCCAACTCAAATTTCACGTCTCCATTCCTGCAACCAAGGCCGTCGACAAATTTTTGAATTCCGAGCAAACGGGTGTACACCCATAATATTATAATTATAACAATCATAAATATTATTTATTATTATATTATTATTATTATTAAATACGCACCTTTAGAGAAAATCACTCCGTAGAAAGGCCTGTCGAATTCGATGTTCACTCGCATGTGCGTCTTCTCGCATTGCACCTGCAAGTGTTTGATCTTGACGGCGTCCGGCACGGCCTGCAGCGGCCACGTATCGTCATGCGGCCCCTGAAGCTGGCCACCGGACGATAACGGCAGTCCGACGTCGTAACCGCCACCGGATCTGTGTTCCAGCGGTAGCGCCGCCGCGTTGTTGTTTTCCGGTGCCAGGCTACCATCGCCACTGGTGCTCTGTAATCCGAAAGATTATTGTTTATTAATCATATCATTGTTACTGTCATAGTACATTATTATTGTAGATACAGTACTACAGTGTAATAATTCGTAATTCATTTAAATACAAGGCCCACGTAAGGGCGTATATATACTGTGGGGGAGGGGTTAAGCATATAGTAGTGTCCTCATTTAGTACTTGTCATAACTCAGAATTTTAATATTATATAAATTATTTTGTTATATACCTATTAATAGTTTAAAAATGTATTACTATCCTAATTATATTATTAGTGTTATCTTTCCATACATATGTCGCTATACGAATGTCTTGATTAGCCGATTGTTTTAATTAGATAATCGTGTTTTTACGGCCTTATAAAAAGGTAAACGTATTTTAATTAATTTACAATAATAGGTATGATGTATATATTTTGGTAAATCCTAGATACGTTACTAACACCATGTTATAAGACAGGTATTCAGAGAGTCGGAGAGTGTACACATATTTCTTAAYATCAATTACATAAATTTWATTTTGATAGCTCAAATAAAAGACTTTAAAAACAGYGGGTTAGCCTAAATAACTAAAATAACTATTTTTTATCATGTCGTAGTATATTACTATATTCCACTAATTATAAGGGTCCTCTGAAGTCTGTCTAATCTGTCATTTTATTTTTATCAACTATTCAATCGGTTTTTCAGTTTTTCTTATTGTTCTGTTTTGTAACAAATTGAATAAAAAGATTGTATGAAAATAACATTTATTGTWCCTATTCTTAAATAAAACATAATTTTGATTTTTTCTATGATAAATTGTGTATAATATGCTGCTTCTCAATATAATAATATAACTGATACAGGTCAACAATCAGAATTTTTCRTCGTCACTTGACAGGGCGTTTCGCACAATTCTAGCCACTCTAAAGTCTATGTGACTTGTACGACATCGTTAGAGCAATGTATTAAGTATTTAAAAWAGTATAATATAGTGGTAACGACAATACGTATCCGAAATTATACGTTACAGTAGACTCACTCGACTCTGTGTCCAAAACCCCGGCTACTATTATATTATCATATGCCTCCAGCCTACGTAATATCATTATTATTATTATTATTATTATTATTATTATT